TTCTCTGAAAATAGGACACTGTTTTACAAAAAATGATTTTAGCATCAACTGCTGGTGCTTCGCTTCAAATGAGTCACATTTGGGCATTTTCCTCTGCAACACTGAAAGTATCTGTAAATAAACACAAAAGCTCCCTCCTTTAAAAAAGAATAGCAAGAATTTGATTGGCTCCCAATCTCAAATGTTGTTGCGTAAGGGCCATATTCATATTACTCTTACCTTAATTTACTTTGTTTGTAGGTTTTAATATAGAAAATTCAACCTTTTAAGTATATAGATTTGTTTGATTATAATTAAAACTCCTCACTGATGTTTATTACAAGTATAAATTACAGGCCCAGCTTTTACATGAACTGCTGAATGCCTAGTCACAAAAGAAGAGGCGGCCTAGATTTTCTAGGTTTGCATCAGCTCTCTTTCCTTTTGAAGATGTTACCAATCTTCAGTCTACGTCTAACTCCAGGCGGATGAGGCCAGAGCCTGAGTGCCTCGGGCATCAATTCTTGGCCTTCTGGGAGTTGACGCCTTCCCCAGAGGAGCCGCTACAAAGTCACACCTAGACTTCTGGCAAAGCTTGCTGTGTAATGACCATAATTTTGAATGCCCTCTGTTGGCCTTGACAGATTTGTACTTGGGAGGAATAGTCTTAAAAGAAAAAGCTTTGGAAGATGTGGCAGAACTGACTTCTGACTTTTGTGCCTGATCGCTTAAAGCAGGTGCTTCAGATGCTCAGTGGGGGGAATGACTGGCTTTTCACCCTCCTGTAAACTGGGCTACATGACCTGCTGGCATCATTTCTACATTCCATCCTGGTGACTTTGCCCGTTGTGGAGCCTACACTCTGCATCCTGCCCGGGGGCACTTTGTCAGGACCAGTGGTAGAATTAACGGTTCATCAGGCATTTTGCATGGTGCTGGTGTTACTGGAAAGAGCCTGTGATGGCCATTACAGGGTGAACCATTTCGAACAGTTGTCCTTAAAAACTGTATGCACATCCATCTCAACATGAACAAAAACCCAAAAACCCAGAATTATATTTTTAAGCTACAATAGAAACAGTATATTTCCATCTGCTGCAAGAGATCAAAAGATGGAACCTGACAACCTAAGTTTTGGGGGAGAAATGTGTTTTACTTAAGTTCAAGTCAAAACGCCAGTCTTGGAAGAAGAGAGCAGGCGTGGGTTGGACTCCGTGGTTAATGTTTAGATACATTTGGAGATAGTGAACTAGATTCAGACAAACTTAGGTGTGAATTACAGTTTTGCACTAGAAGGCTTTTTTTTTTCCATTGGGATCTATTTATAGATCTGTACAACACAGTAGGTATTCATTAATTCTCCATATACTTTGTTCCTACAAACGCTCAGAAGACAATCTTGTTAAATCTTGCCAAACAATTTGATATTTGAACATATATTTATATTTTGTTTTACGATTTGTATTTTTGATTTACAATAAATCCATGGATGTACCATTTGCCTCTCATGATAAGAAAAAAATCTGTCTCACGGGCAGCAGGGGGGCAGGTGCTGGCGCGGGACAGACCTGTGTGGGTCCTGCCTGTGCCACATCAGCACTCTGTCTTTTTTGCAGGTCACGCTATTATCCTGTTTTTCCTTCTACAAAATGGGAATAATAACACTTCTCAGAGCTGTTGCGAAAACACAATAAAGGAATGTGCATGCACACATAGGTACACGTACATCCAGCGCCTGGCATGTGTGGACGGCTCCGTGCTGATGCTCAGTAAATAGCTGTTCCTGTCACTTTGCTGATCTCTCATTCGCTCCCTGTTCCCTCTAATACAGTTCTCAGTCTCTTTCATTCTTACATCTTTACATTCTCAGCACATCCCATTTCACTGAAAGGATCAAGGCTCGACAGCCTGGATTTTCTCCACATTTCAATCCTGTCAGAAATTCTTGATTAATTCTCCTTCCTCTTGCATGGAACAAACTGTCTTTGAACCCATTATCTCTCATCTCCAAAACCTTGCTCTTCTCACTTCAAGTCCTGCATTTTCCCTGTGCTCACTTCCCTTCCTGTATTACCACCACCCTCCTCTTCCCCAGGCACATGGTGTCCTGTGCCTCCCCTGGGTCTCTGCTCTCATGCTGGGTACAGCTTGGCTGATGGCAGAAGTTGTTCTGTTATTGAGGGACTTTTAGTTTATGTCAAAGAAAAAACGTCCTGGTGCTAAATGATTAACCTCAAAGACCACAAGCTCTCTCCAAGCTGTATAATAATCACTTAGAAAGCCATTTATTTGCCCCAGAAATTGCTTTTTATATTTTTGCCATTCGGTTTGATGCCACATGAGGGCCACCTAAATTATTCACATTCCAAATCACATCTAAGAAGTCCTTTGTGTGCTTATGAATTGCCGTAAGGAATGTCACAAGATGTTAGTGAAATTGCGAGATCCGTGGAATTTCTCAGTACTAGAGTGAAACTGAACTACTCAGTATTTAAACCACACTTAAATCATATTTTGAACAATGATTGCTTAAAGTTTATTCTCATGATAATGGCTTTTAAAAAGTAAGATAAAAACTCACTTTATCATTGGAAAGTACTTGATCACACAATCTTTCCCATATAAATCAATTATATAAAGTATTAATCCATGCCTCAAGAAGATGAAATATGCATTTATTAAAGACTTAAATACTAAGTTGCACCTTTTTGTTCTCTGGAACCTGACATTTTCCCTTTTTTTTTATTGTTCTGAAATAGAAGACATAACTCTGAATTGAAATAATTACAGCTGTGAAAATCATTTACTTAAAAGAAAAATGGTCAGTGAATATCAGTTGAATGAAGCCCATAATAATGAATGTCCTTCAGGGATCAACACGTGCTGTTTACTCTCACACTCTAAGTCACTTGCAAAATGGTTTTTACAGCATTGCTTTGAAAAGGATGAGGTACTATTTAATTGCTTCTGTCTCTAAAAAATAACACATATTAGGTATTTTTAAATTGAATTTTATTGAACATATATACTGAAAATGATGAAAAGGCAAAATGATGTAGCTTGTTAAAAAGACATATACATATGTTTCAGTTTTCAACTCTTAATCAGCTTCGTAATTTTGAGTACTATCTTAAAAGAACTGTCAATATATGGGCAAATATCTTCTCAGATACTTTTGTATATTAGAAGACATGTTTTTATCTATATATCAGCCATTTGCATTTAGTCAGTTCAATGATATAGCATTCTCCATCATATTATGTCATTTTAATTTGGTCTGTTTAAGTTAACCTCAGAAGACATATTTTTGTAACCTATTTGGAATAGACGTCCTTATTGCAGAGTAAATTGTGGACATTATAAAAATTCACACAGGCAAGTGCTTGAAGTATTCTGTATTCATTATAATAGTTTTATGCACTCATTCAATCATGTTTTTTACTGGACTCTTGCTCTCTGTGCAGCTCTGTTCCAGGCCCTAGAGAAACAGCTCAGTAAAAAACAGGAAGACAGAAGGCTCTGCCCTTGGGTAACTTTCAGGAGGTTTATTACATTGGAGAAATCTGGAATAGCCTTCTGAAAAACCACATGACATGCACAGTTGGATTTGAATTTCATTTCAGTAATTGTCTGATGGGTTTTCTTCTGGTGTTTAAAATCACTGTCTTGTAAAAGTAACCAGTTTTTCCTGGACAGATGTGCTGGTATCAAAGTCAAGTGAGTCCGCTGACTGAAGGTCTTTTTTGACCCTGATGTCTTAGGGCTCTCCCGCCATGTGTTTCTAGAAGGGGACACGCAGCCCCAAGAGCGACTGATCAGCCAGTCCCTCGGGGCAAACATCCTGCTTGCTCGAGGTCGAGCGAGCACTCTGGTGTCAGGACGCTGTGTTCTGTCCACCACCGTGCCCCTGGAGGGTCGGCGCCACCTTCTCCGCTTCTCACAAGGTCGCTGTTCAGTGTCCAGCCCGGCGTTCGTGTCCTGCCTCCGGGTGTCACTGTGGTCTTACACCTTCCTGAGTACTCGATGCTTTCCCTCACGACGCCATGATTTCTAACCCTTTCTTTGTGACACTTACACCTCTCCCACATTCTCTATCACTTACGTCTATCTTCACTGCGCTGCTGGTACTCTATAGCCCCACCAACTAGCTGTCATTGAAAATTAAACTTGGCTGTGTTACGTCCTTCCATCTGTTTGTGGCATTTCATATATAATTTCTTTTAATTTTGTGAAATTCTGTATAAGAAATGACCTGGAATTCAATGTGTATTTGCTTTAAAAAGTATAAGAGCATTTTTTTAAACCTTTCATATGTTCAATAAAATTTTTAAATCTTTTATTAAAGTTCCTTAGCTTAAAAAAAGAGTGAATGCCAGCACATGGAGGTCAGCTTACTCGCACTGTGCGGTAGTGATGTATCTGCTTTATAAATTTGTACTTGTAATTTAAGTCCTTGCACCAGCAGATTTCATAGCATGTAACCCAAGGTTATTTTATTCAATACTTTTCATGATTTTCTTCATTTAAAAAATAAGGTACAGGTGAATGCCAGTTCATTAACGTCAGCTAGAACTATCTTATCGCTTATAAATAGTTCTAGATAGAAATATTGACTCAATAGTAGGACTTTAGGCAACAGCCTTTCTTACCTAATTTACCCACTTTGTTAAGATTCAGAGGCTGTAAGTTGTAATATTTGGTTCAGCACTACCAAAAATGTGTAACTTAATAGAACACCACAACTTCCCAGAAAGTTAGTAAGTGCAAGTGCATCCAATTCTGCTCAGTTCTGGCATTTATTGTGCAGAGCTGTGTGGGACAGACATTACCCTCTTCCAGCCCTGTCTCCTTTTGTAATATCCCTTTCATACATACCATCAAAAGTGTTTGACTTTGCTTCCAAAAGCCCAGTTAGGGGGTTCACATTCGTCTTCATAGTAACAGGAAGAAGGGAAAGATTTGTGTCAGGCCCTCTTGGAATTTCCTCGTTTCATTTCCGAACCTGTGTCTTCCGCCCGCAGAGCGCCCCGGCAGGGAAGCCCAGGCCAGTCGCCCCCTGCAGACTCGCCCTTTCGCAGCCGCAGAGGAAGGCAGCTCCCGCAGGTGCCAGTGAGAAGCGGCAGCGTCGAACAAGGTATCCGATAAAGAGAGAGCGTTGGCCAGAAATCTGGGATTTGAGGACCACCTGCTTGTATACGCCTTTTAGTGAATGGATGGCATTTTGATTATGTGTCGCTTCCTGAGTCCTGAGAATTTGCTTTTTAGGATTTTATTCCCAGCAGCTCGTTATAATGGTTCATGGTCTGTACTCTGATTTTGCTGAGTGAGTGAATGAATGAATTTCAGGTGGTCAATTAAAAGAATGACTTGCACCCTTGAAACGTTTTTTCAAAGGGACGATGAAAATAAATTGTAAAAAATCTCAGGAAAACTATGCATTAGAAGAAGGCTTATTTAGCCTTGTTTTTAAAAAGTTTTTAAATACTTTCATCATATTGAAGTATTTATTAGTTTTTTTATCCTAACTTGCAATACTCTATATTTTTATACAAATTTGATGAAAAAAGTGACTTAGTGCACACTGTTAAGTGTGTTGTCTAAATAGTTTATGTTACTTAAAGGTTCCCTTACTTTAAGCATATACTCATTGTGTTCGATTTTCCTCGAGAGGGAGAATGAGAGAGTGTGTGTTTTGAGAATGAAAATTAAATCCACTGAACTACCCGGACTAGGTGATTTAAATCTTGGGCCAGAATAGTCACTCTTGTCTTCATGTGCCCCTGTGTGCCCTCCCATTTCTCAGTAGATAAAGTGATTTGTTATCAGAATGTTATCACATAAGTATTACAAGGATTTGTTAAGTAATTCCCTGAAGTAATTCATAATTTGGGGTTGTGATGTAAATGCAGGAGGCTTACATTCAAAATGTGTATTAAGACTCTTCATCCCCATAAAACAACTATAAAAGGTTAACATTTTGAATATTTTCTTCAACAGTGTTGGTTCTCGCTGATGTCAAGCATGTATTTCATTCTTTATTGAGGGTGCTGTGTATGCATTTTACTCAATTGAGGTGCTTTACTGCTGAATGAATCACAGAAATGTTGCAGATCTAAGAAGATAAACACATTGTTTCGAAGACTGATATGGCAGTTTGTAAATGGGATACTTGGTTATAGAAAAATTAGCATAGATTTTAAGAAGGTTCAAATTATTAATAGAAGAATGCTGCTATGGTGAAGTCTGGATTTGTGTTTTTTTTAAAATTATACCCCCTGTTGATAAAGTGTGCTTTTAATACTCAGAGTTGTTTTGAGTATTCATTTAATTAATCAGAAATATACTATACTATGTGAAACTCTGACTTTCTTTTCTAAAGTACAATTAATTCACTGTAATCCTTAATTCACGTGTTTAACAAACTTCGTTTTCTCTGGGAACATTTTGAGAAGAAATTCATGTTTTTAAGATTCAAATTAGCAATAGCGCCCATGAAATCTTTTTAAAAATTTACTTTTAAAAAATAAAATTTGGTGTTTTTAAAATTATGCACTCATGGATTCCTGTTGCACAACTAAAAGAACTACGAATTCTGATGTTTAGCTACAAACTCAGTGTTACTAGCCTTATTTTGCTAAAGATCAATATCCAAAATCTTATGTGTTCCTGAAATTCTTTGCATTTCCTCCAGTTGCTGAAACACTACAGGTTCAAAAGCATATTACATGTAACTCTCATCAGTGAGATTATAGTTGTATTATTTAAGTAGAAATAAGAATGGCTTCTACAAAATCAGTTAGATTTATGCTGGATTTGGATTTTCCGGAAAGCTCATGTTCTATTGTTGATGCCAATGTTACTATTTATGACACTCGTATTCACAGTTGTCTTTCAGAGAAATCATCAATTTGTAAGGATTGAATTAAGGTGGGAAGAAAGGAACGACTGAGGATGAAACTGATGGAGTTAATTGTGATATTTAATATCACAAATACAGTAGTAAACCTTTTTCGTTGTTTGAGGTTTCTGAAATTTATGATCTTAAGAGCCATATACATACAACATTTAAAAAATATGGCAGCAAATATGTACTATTACATCTAAGTGTTCTTCTGTAATTAAAATAGACCTGAGTTACTTTACGATGTTAATGTGTCTACTTCAGGATTTGCGTAGAGGATGATACTGTCCGGCGTCATCTCATTACGGATCTATTTCAGACTGAACAGACATGACATTTTTGTGGGTCCTAAAATATGTTTTGAAAAGTAAACTTATAATTTGATTCATTAATTTCATTGTTGTTCTTCGCGCTGTAGAATTATGTCATTTTTTTTCCTTTTAATATTTTTTATTAAACTTTGGTTCTGTCCTCTATTAAGATGAATGCTGAATGCAACTTACTGGCCATTGATTAAGCCTCTATCACACTTGACTTCCTTCCAGTCTTATTTTTTGCTTGTTTTTTTGTTTTTAACAAAGGATAGTTCTAGTTTTTAAAAAAGAACTGAGTTGGTAATAACCAGTTGATTGGTAAAAACAAATATTTCAAATGATGTATATTCCTGAATAGTGATACAACTCCTTGATGAACTTGTAAGACAATGGTATTAATACACAGTTTCGTGCCGGGACAATTAGAATGTTTGACTGGATAAATGTTTTTTTCTGTAATTCAGTATCATTACTCTGTCTCTGCACCATAAAAGCAGTATATAGTATTTTAAGGGCGAACATCATTTGACAAGACATGTTGACATAATTTTCAAAAAAGCAAAAGTTTCTTTTTAAAAATTAGGAACACTTGCCCAATTTGCCACATGAAATCTAATTATGTTAAGGGACATTTGGAGGAAAAGAAGTGGCGAATTTACAATATAGATTTTCAGGTAAAGTAGCCCCTTTAAAAAGTAGGTTTAAGATTTAGATAACTCTGGTGGTATATGATAATTGAGAGAGATTTCCAAGAAATTTCTCTGGTGATATTCCAACATGGTATCCCAGTGTAGCCCTTATGAGCGTGAGGTTGAAAGCAATGTAATTACTTGCATTAAAATGTTATATATATAGATTTTCTGAAACCAAGTAAGTAATTTTTCTTGTGCTCAACTGTATATCTTAAAGAAGTATTTAAAGATCATTCATAATTTAGCACTTAGGGTGCCAGTTATATTTGATGTATTCTGTCACTTCATTTTCAACCAGAAGCCTAATGATAGTCACCTTCAGAAATATCTCAGTGGGCCATTGTTTCACAGTAAATAGTGTCCCAACAAGGATGTAGATATAAAGGTTTATGAAATGTCTAACTAATATAGTCTGCAAAGAACAATTTCACTTGCAGATACTTTCTTATACTTATTTGAAAAAAAAAATGGGTTACTTAAATTAGAATATATTTTTGATGTGGAAAATGTTACAGAATATTTTCACAATGAACAGAAGAGGCATACTATCCAGTGAAAAATGGAATTTATTTTCTCATTTATTTTATGAAATTTCAAATGACCTCATGCTATGATTTTTAAAGTGCTAAAGTGTTCATTATGAATATTAAATGTTTTTAAATGCATTTACAATAAAACGTCACAGCAGATTGAAATTTAAATGTTTTAGTAAAATTGCTGCTGAAATATTTTGTAATCCTTAAAGGCAAGAAAAAATGCCACAGAATATACTTTTTCAAATGTCAAACATTAATTTCCCAATGTTTCTGTTTTTATTTTAATCTTGAAATTGTTGTATTCATTCTTTCTTTGGTTAATTTTAGCACCATATTTGAGACTTCCTCATGGTCTGTCACTGCAGTTTAATCATTATCACATTATATGTCATGCATTTTTATTATTCATGCCATTATATTGATTCACATTTCCATGTCTAACTATAAATTTGCTGATTTCTTTCTTTTGTTTCCATCATTATGTGCATTTAATTCATTGAAGAACAAGAAAAATATAATTCTTCCACAAAAGGTAAATATCAACATAATTTTTTAACCATTTAATATCGTTCCTTTACTTTTATAACATATGAGTTATATAACTGTGTTTATTGAAATAGTGAGCAAAGAAGTTTTTTTGTCTGCAGTGTTTTTGTAGGGCATTTGTTAATGTTTGTATTGTGAGCAGTTCACATCAAAGAAAAAAGGTTAATGTTAAGAGTATTTTTGCTTCCAAATTTGTTTATTCATACTGACAACTAGAAAACAATTCTCTTTGGAAAATAACATTTTTATATGGTTTTGTTTGTTTGTATTCCCCTGCTCTGAGAGACAGTGTTTGTTACCTTCTGTCCAGGGTAATGCCTGGTACAAAGGATCAGGAAATTCCTGGATTTCCCTTTCAAGATACCAGTAACCTTATGGAATGATTGGCCCCCACTGTAGCCACGCATCTAGGAAGCAGCTGCCTAATGTTGCTCGTTGGCCTCAGTAGTGTTATAATACCCAGCATTCTGTCCTCCTAGAGGACGTAGGAAGAAAGCCATTCAGCCTGCTGTACTGGCGCACTGCTGACCTCCTCCCTTGTTATCTCTTGGATCACATTTGATCTTTGGTCTTTGGACTTGAGTTTCAAGTAGTTGCAGACTTCATCCCACTCGTGTGCTACCTATACCATGTCCTATTCAAATGTGTCCTGTTGGGCTAGTCATTAAATATTTGAATATAAGCTTTCAGCTTAATGAAATAATTTATTAATAATGCTTAAAAAGTATATAATTCTGTGTGGTTTAACAAAAATACATTTACTCAATATTTATGGATTGATGATGGAGCTAATTTGTTATCTGTAGTAACCCTAAGTTAGTCCTGAGAGTAGAATGGACCCAATTTTTTGGATAGTGAAACTCAGGTTCAGAGGGATGAAGAGGTTCATCCATTCCCAGTGCTGGTGAGTAGTAGACTACCAGCCCCAGTCTCTTATTTTTGGCCTCCTTCCCCTGAATTTTAGTGTATCCTATTTTAATAGGTACAAATCCTAAATATAGTATCCCCACCTCCTAGTATATTGAGGTATGTATTATGTATCTCAGTATTACAGAGTGAAAATGGGAGGTAATATTCAATTACTAATTTTAGTGTGAATTTATAAAAATATATTCTGACACATAAGACATATTCTGGCATACTGCCTGAAATAGTAGGTAATAAATACATAGTAATTAAAAATAAAATATTCAAGGAGATCAAGATATCTTGAAGTCTCTAGATTTTGCATAGATTTCTGGCCATTCTGCATTTTTAATTCAGGTATCAGACACACAACTTTACATTCACTAGTACAAAAATGGACAATGCGTTTGTACTTACATTCATAAGAATTTATTTGGATTTGCAAGATAAATTTTGGTATGATTAAAGCATTAAAATTTTATATTGGGAATGGGTCCTGACCTAATTCATTTAGTCAAAAGGAAGAAAAATGTAGTAATTCTTCATTTAAAGAGCTCTTCCATGTATATTATTACCAGCCAAAAGCTATAATTAGCTAATCAAAACAAAACAGAATTCGTAAGTCGTACAACCTAAAGTCTGTGTGAAGTGTGCACATTTGCAAGGTCGCCCTACAGAGTACGTCCGCTTTTTGCATTTTTACAAGGCCGTTGTGTCCTGGCCAAGATGCATGATCACTCTGCCACGGCTTCCTTGGATGCAGGGTGTGGACATGCCTCAGAGAACGGACCACATGTCTGAAAACAACCAAAGAGGCATGTCCCCAAATGCGTCCAAGCAAGGCAGAGAGCAGCAGAGGACGCCCTACCGCCTCTCTGGGGCTTACGGGAACACAGCTTAGCCATGAAAGGGTTGAAAAATCCAAAACAGATAGAAGCAAGTTCAATAAATTTCTTTAAAATCATATTTTAGGCTCACATAGCTCCTAAAAAAGCAAAAAGTTTTGTTTTACATAGAAATCCTGCTTTGGGCAGGTGTTCTTTGGGGTCAGTCACGTTGGAGCACCGAGTTACCGCGAGCGCTGCCTGCGGGGGAGGACTGGGGCCTGCCGTGCGAGCGGCCAGTGCGGGCTGAGGTGCTCCTGCTCGGAGTTCGCTTTCAGTGAATTGTAGGCAAACTTGTAGGGCAATCAAACGCCCCCCTTTGTCGAGAACTGAAACACTCCCCAAGATGCAAGACTTTCAGTGCTGAAACCAAGACAGCTCCCAGCAAACTGGGACGGTTGACTGGAGGGGACCAGTATGTAATTGTCCAGCATATATTTATTTATAAAGCATATGTTTGTAAAGCACACAGAGAGAGAGGGGTAAAAGGCTAGTAACATTTTCAATGGTAGAGTTTACTGAGAACTTTATGTCAGTGACACGACTAAGAGTGTTACATATTTACCTCATTTTATTTTTACAACAGCCTGAGACATGACTATTAATACCCTCATTTTCCAACTGAGAAAGCTAAAACTAAGAAAGATTAAAACTTGGCCTTTTGTCACTCATTCCTTTGGTAAGGGATGGAGCTGGGAACTAGACTTGAGCCTCACTCCAAAGACCTCTTAACCAGTTTGTTCCACCGGCTCTGCACCATGCACACAGCAGCCCCCGAGTCCCCGCCGTGCATACGGTCCTGCACCCTCGCGGCCACAGCAGGCGCCCCCTGTAAGGAAGGTGTTGTTTTCTATTTTACAGAAAGAGAGTCAGAGGGCTGAAGGGGATACCTGAGGTCCCAAAGCTTCTCTGAGGCTGAACCAGATTTTGACTCCGAAGCCCGTGGTCTGTCCACTGTCCCACGTTGCTTGGGCATCTGCCTCTGGGCAACGCTAGGACCTTGAACAGGTCTGCGTCCCCTGATAGGATCCTCGGTCCCACCTCCCTCTGATGACTCAGTTCTTCGCTACTCAGCTAGCCTTTCAAATTACTATGCAACCGAGAAAGCCAAGCCAGAGTATTTGAATCAAGATGTGTTCCCTGGGTGGAAAAGTTAACTGAGGTGCTTAGGCGCTCACACTATGTTACTTACCTTTTACCTCCGTGTTGGAAGCTGGGAGGCCATATCATTTTAGACTTCACAGACTGCTTTATAGGCATATTTTAAATTATTCATTCTAAAAGTAAGCTACTTTTTCCCTCTCTGCTACATTTCTTGGACAGTTTTAAAGAGCCCATGAATGTAGTTTGGGGGCATCGAAATAATGATAGAAGAAGATCAAAACAGAACCTGAAATTAAATGACTTCAAGGTGAGAAAAAATGTTATTAATCATAATAAGTCTAATTTCTATGCCTTTGGGTAGTATTTTTTAAGTGCATTTGCTTTTTGGCTTTTGGAAGCACTTTTGAATCCTGACAAAACACATCATACGACATTTGCTGCAAAAATGTATTTCCAAGACCAGAAAAAATGTGTGATTTACACACACTGAGAGAATGAAAGTCAATTAGAATTGAAGTGATTATATGATTCGAACAAAAACGAAGAGTGAAGTAACACTCCTTGCATTTTGTTTACCTGTCTCACTAGTAAAATATATAATAAATATTGTAACCAGGTTATAGGGGCTATTTAAGCATTGTGTCTCGTCAACTGTATTTTGAAGTACAAGTTTCTCAAAGAAATGCTCAAATAAATTACCTGTACTTCCCTTTTTTAAATGTTGACAACAGCTTGAATGCTAAGTCATGAAAATATAATTTTTATGGAATGATTAGCATTAATATTAATTAGGTGCACTTATATTTAGAAAGTGGAAAATACTTTAATAATTTTCTGTTATATTAGTTATTGTATAGATAACAGCATATTATGGCTGTGAAACACATTATAGGTAAAAATTATATGATTTGACTTCTACTAAAATTAGTAAACTAATTTGTGTATTCTTCTGAAGCAGCACTATTTTAACAATCATAAATAGAAAAGGTTTTAATTTCTTTTTACATTTTTATTAGATGTATTTATTTAGTAGGCGCATATTAGGCCGGTGATTCATGTCCTGTTACTTTGTGTTAAGATCTTGAAGGCTCAAGTGTCTTTATCGTTTAGGGCTTTTCTTTTCCTGAACACATATTATGAATACTTATGAATGTTCATAAATATTTAGAGTTCCATTAGTAAAAGTGTCTAATTTATCTCTTTTTCTTTTTTGCCACAAACCCATAAATGCAATTACCATTCTAACCTTCTCTTTAAACTTTAGGGTCATAGACAGTGAAGCAGCCTATTTAAAACAATTCAAACTATTGTTTTAACCCTATTTTCCCATTTGCCTGATTCAAATGTGGTTATTTATAACAGCATTATAGCCTTTTAAAACTTCACAATATTTAACATTTATATCAACTAAGCCTCAACTTGCAAAAATGCTCCCTTGAGAGAGAGTACACTGCTACCCCTTTGTTCCTGGGATTTGGGGAGAAGGTGCAGAGGAAAATAGAAGACAGATTTCTAGCTATGGATAGACTCTGGTTTTTTTCCTCTAAAAGTATGTATTTCCCCTAAATATTTTTTACAAACTAAAATATTTGTAAATAACTTTTTATAGAAAAATGGGAAGAGACTGTCAAAAAATTGGCGTTAAGTTCAGCAGTTATGCCACATCAAAGTTATGCCTCTCAGCATAGACTCTGTTTTTGTTTCAAAATCAAAAGTTTTGCCTTTCAAGATAAATTCTGTTGCCATCAGTGTAATTGGAATAATGAAAAATAATGGACAACATATTAGCACTTGGAATAAACAGCATGACCCATCAGGGAGGAATTCTGTTACTCCCTCAAAGAAGCCTCAATTCTGGGGGCTGCTCTTCACAAGATGGTGTTTTTAGCAGCTCGGAAGGAAGGCTGTTCACCCTCTCAGAATGGAAATACATTTTAAAAAGCTACTTAACTCTGTGTAACTGCAAAAGGCAAAGCGCAGTGGCAGAGTCTTTCATCAAAACCCTGACTTTCTTAGCTGTCAAGCATCTGACTAGCATTTTGAGTGTTTGTCTGGAGCTTAGCAGTTTGGGGACTGAAACTGAGTCTGCGGT